AATTGCCATTTGATATTTTGACTGCCCTGGACCTACATTTGATTTAAATAAAAATAAGTACATGTAATTGTGTTTGCTTTTTATGCATGCAAAACAATAATTCATATTTCATGCACATGTAAAATGTTTAACTAGTAGGCTACACAAAAAGCTTTTTGCTTGCTCACCGAGCAGAATATTTAGTTATAATTGTTTAAACCATATTCCTCATTAAATCATAAGTACAACAATTGTTTTTTTTTGTTTTTTTTTTTACAGATGAAAGAAACCTTCTCCAAGAGCAGCGTGTCGTGTTTGATGCGCGCCAACCTCAGAACGCTAAAGGGCCAGGAACTGAACGCGGCGGAGGGGAAGGACGACCCCTGCTGGCAGGTCACGCAACAGCTCCACTTTCTGATTGAAAAGGTATCCGCTTTAGAGGGGGGCTGTGAATCATAAAGCTGGCCAGGGTGTAGACAATGAGTTCATTTATGACTTGGATCGTTTTTCCTTTTTTAATTAATAGAGGAATTTCCTTAATTTTTCCAAGCTTAAATTGAGGAAACCCAATTGTGAGAAATGATGCCGAAGAATTGGTCCATTCACATCACTCATTGTGAAACCTGAAATGTAATCTTTTATAAATTGTGTTTTTCTTTCTTTTTTTTAACAGTCAATGTCCAGTCGTTACCAGAAAGAAATTTCGTCTGCCGTCAAAGGTATTTCACAGCACATTCATATTTAATTTATAGGAAGACATAAACTACGAGTGAATTAACCTTTGGGCTTTTTACAGACGAAGTCTCGCGTGTACTTCCTTCATTGGTGATCCAAGATCAAGATGATTCCCCTCGGCCTAAAATCGCAGCACATGTGACCGGGAGCTATATACCAGAAAAAGATGGAGGAGGTATGTTTTGTTCCTGGAAATACTTGATTTATCAAAGTTGAGCTTTGTTTATTAGCTGCGGGAATTTGGTTAGGTTTGAGTTATGCAACTCTTTTCAGTTTCCGTTTTTTTACTGAATTATTACAACAACAACTTAACGTTTATCTTTGGGTCATAGTCCACAATCACCTTTTAAGTACACCAAATAACGCTGCCAGACTGGATTACATCCAGATCAGATAGAAAAGCACTATGCTATGCAAAAACGGCATTGCATCCCTGCAAATAAACATTGTTTTGATGTTGGCTTCCCTAAAAGGAAGCTCATAAACCTTTAATGTAGGTCAGAGGACGTCTTCCCCCTTTAAAAAAACCAAACAGTTTCATATGTGGCCGTTAGCCTGAAACAAAAAGCTGGTTTGTAACTCGAGCCGAGTCTTTGAAACAAGCACCCTGTTCCGGTCGTCTGCCAAATGCTGAAACAATGCAGCTTTTCTGTCAAACCCGACCCATAATCCTTCTCTTTGGCTTGACAATGCAGGTCAACCGAACAGGAAGGTGTACGGCCAGAAGATTCAGTCGTGGGAGTCTGAAAAGGGTCTGGCTTTCCTCCAGAATGTGGAGTTAAGTGATGGAGAACTGGTGGTGCCGCAGGCCGGGCTTTATTACATCTACTCCCAAACTTACTTCCGACACACGCTTATCGAGGAGGATGAAAGTGACCGCGAGGAAGAGGACGGGACGTCGGGCGAATCAGTTCGGGGGAAACCGATGTTGCAGTATGTTTATAAAAAAGTAAGCTCGTATCCGGTGCCAATTTTGCTAATGAAAAACGCTCGGACGACCTGCTGGTCACGTGACATGGAATACGGACTGTATTCCATCTACCAAGCGGGGCTTTTTCAGCTTGGAGGAGGCGACAGGGTGTTTGTGACGGTCAGCAATGTAAGCACCGTCGACATGGACGAGAAGTCAAGCTTCTTCGGAGCGTTTTTGGTCAGCTAGTGATGCACAGCCAGAAAACCACACATCTCATGGATTGTTTTGAGCTCCAAGATTAGCGACAAGACTCGGCTTGCTCAGTATTTCTACCTGAGCTTTCTTTGAACAGCCGCCAAGCGCCTTAAAACATTTGGACGCGTTTGCCGAGATGCTCCTTCGCTTGCCAAAACAGTTAACCTTGATTGATGAGAGCTCAGAAAGGTGCAAATATTTGGCGCTTTTTTGCATTCGGCCAGCAGATCCAATCATAAATCAGCTCCTTGGTGAAATGTGTTGGAGTTCAAATCCAGCACGTCTGCCTGGAGGGGCGATGGAAAACGAGGGGCTTGCCAGGACATTTAGGAAGCGAGTTGTTTGGAGATGATGCCTCTGTCTGGGCAGGAAAAAGGAAGGTGTGACTTTAAGCAAGACTTTCACGTCTGTGGAAGAGCTGCAGGCCTTTCCTGTGTGCTTTTCTTCTGTCCTCTTTGGACCTGTGATTGTATTACCTTTTATACATCTTCTAAAGACAAACTGCATATTGGGATGTCGAAATGTGGTTGGAGAGACTTCTAAATCATGCCTTGATTGTATTATTGACATGATTGTCAGTTTAAGCACTATTAATGTGTCTGTATTGTGAGTGAGTTATTTATATATCATAATTCATTCCTTAAGCATGAATCTTGTACATTAGCTAAATGTGAAAATCACTGTGACATTGTAAAATGGTAAATCGTCTTGTACAAAATGACTTTTGTATATACTTTTACCAGCGCTGAACATAAACTGAGGATTTCTGCATCTTGGTTTGTTCTTTGTAGTGTTTCAGTTTTATTATAACATTTAATCTGAAACTGACTTTCAGTTCAAAGTAACTATGTACGTTACAGTACACGGTGTTCTTTCCTTCTGGATCTTTATCTTACCCAGACCATAATTCTTCATATTAAATATGTACATTATACATAATGTTGGTATAACAATCATTGGGTAGTTTCATTCATTATACCTTTTAAGACCATGCAACTATATTACTTAAATATTGCTGAACAGTCTCGAGGTAATTTGATAATAATAAAAAAGTTAAAATATGTTCCAACAATATTAATGTAGTTACATTGTCTTCAAATATGATTTTATGTATATATATATATACAGTGGGTACGGAAAGTATTCAGACCCCCTTCAATTTTTCACTCTTTGTTATATTGCAGCCATTTGCTAAAATCATTTAAGTTAATTTTTTTTCCTCATTAATGTACACACAGCACCCCATATTGACAGAAAAACACAGAATTGTTGACATTTTTGCAGATTTATTAAAAAAGAAAAACTGAAATATCACATGGTCCTAAGTATTCAGACCCTTTGCTCAGTATTTAGTAGAAGCACCCTTTTGATCTAATACAGCCATGAGTCTTTTTGGGAAAGAGGCAACAAGTTTTTCACACCTGGATTTGAGGATCCTCTGCCATTCCTCCTTGCAGAGCCTCTCCAGTTCTGGCAGGTTGGATGGTAAACGTTGGTGGACAGCAATTTTTAGGTCTCTCCAGAGATGCTCAATTGGGCACACACAAACAAACGCCGTATATAGACTGTGATGCTATATTTTTTTCTATATCAAATATTTGCAACTATCCCCTGGAACTATTATTTTTTGGGCTATTTTTATTTATCAGACTCATTTTACCTAGTCAAAAATCTGTCTTTTTATTATGGTAACATAAAAGTTTTTATAGTAACATTTATTTGATTTACGACAGCTATTTCCTATGAACAAAGAGGTTATGAATATGCCATGATCAAAATAGTAACTCATTTTGTCTGTATTCTGCCCACTTGTGGTAAATGTTCGCAAATACTGGTCAGAGATCCAGAACATTACTGCACCCCATGAATTTGTTTGATTTCACTATTAAGGACATGTGGTTCTAGTTTACCATCTAGTGTACTTTGGAACATGAGTGATTAATAGTTATATTTTTAACCTCTGATGTTTCAAGAGCAATATAGATAGTTCAAAGGTACTGTAGACTAAGATGCTACATGAAAACATACACAATATTTATGGATTTTCCCATTTTTAAGTGGCAGAATGAAGCTAAGTAATAGTGCCTACCTAAGCAATATTTTTCCTGAGCTGGAATATGAATGAAATGCCTCATTAAAATTGTATGCTTATAATTTATGTCAGCCCCTGTAAAGTGATTTTGCACTGGTGAAGAGCTACTGGGGATCTCCCAGCTCAAACAATGCCACCTCCACAGGCTATACCCACCTTCAAGTTACTTCTGGTTGACTGAATCAGGAAAAACAACACCGCACATGTACAGTTCACTCATGGACAGCCATATAAGTTATGCACTCACATATGGACATGTTTCATTGCAAAGTCTTGTTGTGATTGTAATACACTCTTGTAATTGTTTGCAGCACCCATTGTTTAACATCACATGTCTGAGCAGCTGTGTTTAGCTTATTCCATTTGCAGTCAAGTTTGGCTATATATATATAGATAGATAGATAGATAGTCACACTAATTGATACATTAATCATTCTAATAACCTTTCTAAATTTGTCAATGATTTATAAAATCACCTTCAGAAAAAAACAAAGCAACATCTAAGATCAAGTGATTTTTGAAATGAAAGACAAGAGTCATGTTAGGATTTTTCTTTTTTTTGTGGAAATATGTTACATTTATATTACAGGTATTTAAATGCCCCAAGGGAAAAAAAGAACAGTTTTGAGACAGCAAAAACTAGCACAATCAGGACAACAACATAATTTAGACAGAAAAACCATACATACTGCATCTGTGTGACTTGCATCTGTAGAAATGGTATCCAGCTGATGCCCTGGGTGGACCGTAATCTATGTTAAATGATACCCAATAAATACTGCAAATGTTGTTAATGTAACTTACAAAATATATCATAAAATGTACTTTTTAAATCGAATTCCTTAAGTCTGTGTACAAAAACTGTTTATAAATACAACCAGTCTCTACTGATGCTGTAGGGCAGTGGTTCTCAAACCTGTCCTGGAGTACCCCCAGCCCTGCACATTCTGTATGTCTCCCTCATCTATCACACCTGATTCAACTCATCAGCTCATTAGTGGAGACTGCAAGACCTGAAGTGGGTGTGCCAGATATAGGGAGACAAACAAAATGTGCAGTGCTGGGGGTACTTCATGGAGAGGTTTGAGAACAACTGCTGTAGGGTACCATTCATTTAACAGGTCTCATCCTCTAACCTACAAACTGAAAATCTTCCACATATGCACATATCGTGACCCACAACAATGAGGTCAGGTATATCTTGCCAAAGATCATGCCTTATAGATCACTTGTACTTAAATGTAAAAATAAATAAATAAATAAAAAAAATAAAACCTTTTCCGAAAGAAACTCTCGACTTCCAGTATCCCGACTCACCGCTCCTTCTAAAGGTGTGCAAGAAAACCAAAACGTACAGTACAAACGATTTTAAGGCACGAGCTTCAGCAATAACTAATTTAATTGATAATGTGAACTGGAACAGAATCACAGTAGCTGCCTTATCGCCGACTCTGCTGACATCAGCCCCTCGGTACAGTGCCATCACACTGAAAGCAAGTCGGTTTGGAATACAGGGCGATGTTAAAGGAGAAGCATCCAGTACTCAGTCAAACCTCATGTCCAATGGTTCATCGAATCCTTTGTCTTCGTGTGGCCCCGTAGCCAAGAAGGAGGCCACAGGTGAGCCAGCCGCCGTGGAGACATTAAGCATCCCGCCGGCGCCGCTACCTGTGGCGTTCCGCACTGCGATGCTGGTGACGTTGATGCCCAGAGTGAGTCTTGTCTGCTCGAGTGCTTTCTCTGGCACCGCGAAGGCCTCCAGCTTCTTTTCGCCATTGGCCATGTAGGAGTTCTGGCAGCCCCTGCATATGCAGTCCAGACAGGCTTTGCGGTTGGAGTAACAGGGGCATCGCTGTCCACGGCATGTAAGAACACTTGGGTTTTGAGTTGCTCTGCCGCACTTGCAGCCCTTTTTCTCTTGCGCCTTTTTGTACACCACTTTTGTGGGGCTCCCAGGAATGAGGGCGTTAGTCAGAATCCGTTCTTTCGTCTTCTCCTTCGACTTCGGAGTGCCCTGTTTGGACTTAGTGTATGCCTTTTTGGGTCCATGGTTGTCAATGGTCTTTTTGACAGTTTTAGCAGGCACCAGTAATGCCTTGCCCACCTTAGAAAGGCCACCACCGTTGGGCACTGCTGCCATGTGGGGGATAGTCTGAGTGGGAGATTTAGGTTCGCACTTGATTGGAACAGGGGCGGAGGCGCCCAACGTGGGTCCGCGGATGAAGGTGGAAATAGGTACGGGTTGAATCTTCTCGCTGTCGCTTTCTGACCGTGAGCGCTTCCGGTTGGACCGTGGCATTCTAGGCGTCACTGCGGAACAGGATATTCCCAAATGTTGTGGATTCTTTTGGGACGTCGGGTGCTGGGGGACGAAAACTTCCTGCGAGTCTTGCGGGAGACAGGAGAGCTGCCGAGCAGAGTCGACCGATGCAAATGGTCCATTCAAGTTTGCCGAAGGTTCGAGTCTCGACTGCAATATTGCAGGACACTCATCCTGGGCAACGTGGTCTGGTTCTAGAGTCCTGAGCACTTCCTCTACACTCAAGAGGAGAGTCCCGCCATCATGTTTAATATCCTCGCCAAAGCCACAAATGTCCATGGTGCTGGTACAAAGCTCCTCTCCAGCAGCTGCCACTGCCTCGCACACGGGGATCTCATTTGTGAAACTCTCTTGTTTCACTGAGTCGCCCCCGCTTTCCACCGAGTCTGGAACATTGGCCTCTAGTGAAGGTAAATTGGCGGTCAACTCCTCCACGTTGGTCAAGCCATTGCAGTCTTGGAGACCGTTCACCCCTAGAGGACTGAGGTCTTGCTCCTTGATCTCTGTCGATGGGGACTGGCCCTCATCGGGGAGCGTTTCTGAGGTCGAGGGTGTAGGGGACTGGTTTGTCAAGCTCAGGGAAAGTGACTCCTCCCCCTGTCTGTTGTTCAATGAGATGCCCTCATTCAACAGAGCCAGGATGTCTGGGGACCCTCCCACAGTACTTGAAATGTGCTGGGCGAGAGGAGACTCTGCGATGTACTCGCAGAGCTTTCTGTAGCAGTCCACCAAGATGCACAGCTGCTTATTCTCTTCAAACTGCTCGTAGTCTTTACACCAGCTGCACGATGGTTTCATCATCATCTTTTTACCTTTACATGATTTACAGACATAATGCTGGCACGATGAGTTGGTTGGAGCGATTGGATCTTGTAGTAAATTGCCTAAATAAAGAAAGAAACCATGTTTAGATAATGAAACAACAGAATAGGTATTATAACAACACATTTACATGCTAATTATTTAAAGAGCAGCCAAAATATACTGCTTGGATGCTGTACCTTTAAAATGATCATTCCAGTCACAGTTTAGTGGATCATTAGCAACACAATACAAGCACTACATTCTATCTAAATAAGACAGGGTTCTGTAACATTCAAGAAAAGCCGCGCATATGTGCTGATGCTAAACGGTCATGTGATGTTGCATGATGTGGCTCATATTACATGCTCAGCATATGGTTAGCAGGGATCTCAAATGCATATGCATTGTTTTTATAAACACATGCACGTTATGTAAACATGCACTGCTTAATATAAATATTAAGCAATTACTGCTGTGATTAGAAAATATACATGGATTATCAATAGCTATATTTTAAGAAAGTAAATTAGCAACGAATTGCCAACTCATTCAAAATAAAGGCATTACTGCATACAGGGTTCCCACACCGATTGACCAAACAATTTTTTTACTACAATCAATGTATTATTTGCAATCAAAAAGTGAATTTCCAGCTAATTATATATATATATATATATATATATAAATTATTTAATAATTTTTCCGGTATGCAAATCCAGAAATGCAAATCATTATTTATAATTTTATGTTGTATTATATACATACACATTATATACAACATAAAATTATAAATAATGATTTGCATTCCTGGATTTGCATACCGGAAAAATTATTAAATAATTATCTACAATTTATATTAACATGTATAACGTTTTTAATGTTATAGAAACCCAGCGAAAATACAAAAATAAACTGCTGAATATTAAAAACAATGTATAACAAAATTATAATGATTTTCTTGCTTTTTAATATATTTATATGAACATTTTTAACATTACCACCGAAAACCCTGTAAAGACAGAATCTGGGTAACTGGGCAATTTGTCTCAAGCGACAGGTTTTATCAGACTGAACAGGCAAGCCATTACTATTCAAGCCCCATGCATCTATAAACACAGAGCCTGTATGCACTGCTGTGTGTCTAAATACCCAGGCTCCAGTTGTCATTGTAGGTCAGAAATCTGTGGACGGAATGGGGGTGTGTCATGGTCGGTGGAGCTTTGAGAGCAGCTATAAGCATGCAGTGATCAAGCAGAAGTGATCATGCAAGCATGCAGGGATGAAGCAGAATAAACGGGCTCTCACCACACACAAGGCAGGCGAGAGACTGTCTGAAAAAAGGCAAGAGCTTATAGATTTCCGCCAAAGCCTGGGGGTCCCGGGGATCGCACTGCAGCACCGACCGACAAGCTGACACGTAGAGAGTGGTCGCATTCACCGGGTTCATCTCAGCAGTGTCGAGCTAGACAGATCCAGTTCGGGGAGGAAAAAAAAAAAAGAGAAGGAGCGACAGTACAAGGCTTCAGGCCCGCCAGCAGCCATTCCTGGATTTGCATACCGGAAAAATTATTAAATAATTATCTACAATTTATATTAACATGTATAACGTTTTTAATGTTATAGAAACCCAGCGAAAATACAAAAATAAACTGCTGAATATTAAAAACAATGTATAACAAAATTATAATGATTTTCTTGCTTTTTAATGCAAATATATGCATTTCTA